GTTTTGGGTGCGCCGATTTGGAAACTTTTTGGCTCGGCGATGTTAAACTCTAGCGTGAGGCGTGGAGACATGATATGAAATGGACATTGATTCATGCTTTTTTGTATTTCGTCTTATATATATATATATATATAATTTCTTTGATTAATAGGCTGGGCATTTTTGTTTGTTACTTAGATTTGCTTGTTGTACCTTTTTGGATCTAATTTTTTAATTTAGATTTAAATTAAATAACGTAAATGTTTTTTTTTTACATATACCAATAAGTATTATCCTTATAGTTATTTTTTATTTGAGTAATATCATGATTATTTTTTAAAATTGTTATAATTATAATGAAATATTATATTTATATAATTAATTATTATATTATTATAAATTATAATTATTAAATAATTAATTAACAAATTATAATATAACTAAATAATTAAATTCATGCACATTAAAACTTGAATCTATTATTAAGATGATGATAAAATAAATTTTATATATTAATTAACTTTGAGATACCTTAAACACATAAAATAAAAAAGACCATTTTACTTACATTTTTTTTTTGTCAAGGATAAAAAGGTTAGGATTGCTTAAGTTCAAACTCAAGTTTTACAACATATCATAATTTTTTCTTTAACCACTCAAATTCATACAAGATTATAAAAGAAAGTTTTATATCAAGATTTAATATAATATATTATTATAATTTAATTATTTTTAAGTTATGATAAATTTAGGTTTTATTTGTTTCACAAAAAATGAATTTAAAAAATAATTTTTTAAAAATATTTATATTTTTTGAATTGAAAAAGATTTTCTGTTATTTAGATGAATTAATGAAAAATATTTACTATTGTTTTGTTACTTTATAGAAAATATATTTTTTTAATAATATAATATAACTATTAAATTGTTAAAAAGTATTTAATATTAAATTATATTAAAATTATTTATTATTAAAATATTTAATATTAAAAAATAATTATATTTTAAAATTAATATTTAATATTAAAATATTACGTTAATATAAAAATACCTAAAATAAAACTATTTATTATTCTTTATATTATTTATTAATATATTAATATATTATTTATTAATAATATACTATTTATTAAAATATTATTTACTAATATAATATTATTTATTAAAATATTATTAAATAATATATTATATTAATAGTATATTATTTATTAATGTATAATAATATTATTTATTTATGAATACAATATATGATTTATTATTATAATATTATTTATTTATTAATATAATAATATTATAAGTAAAATTATGCTAAAAAATATTAATAAATAATTTTACTCATAAGCAATTTTTTTTAAATATAATTTTTTTTAAATTCGTAAGATAGTTTTAAAAAATGACTTTATTTTAGTTGATCAATAAATAATTTTTTATTGACTAGTTAATTTTTTACAAAACAAACACTTAAAAATGTAAAATTATTTTTTGTGAAACAAACGAAGCTTTATAATTGCGATTCTTGAAATGGATTTGCTTCCATTAATTTAAGTGCCTTTTTTTTAAATATATATTCTCACTTGCATTTGGATGCATTTACGAGGTTAAAACTTAAAAATGATGATAAGAAAATTTGTGCAAGAAATAAAACCAGTTTATATGTCATCGTCCATTCACGACCTACAAATGATGAAAAGTACATAAAGAAATCCGTTTTTTTTTTTCAATATATATTAAAATAAAATTCAATTTAAATAATAAAAAACCTCTAATAATTAAAACATGAAAATATAATTTGAAACTTTTGAATTTAAATCTTAAATTAAGAAATGATTATCTCTTGTGATATAACTTAAGATAGAGTGAATCATAATTTTTTTTTTTTGGTATAAATCACAATCATCTTACATCAAAGTGAAGATTATTATTTTTTATGAAATAAATGAAGATTATTATTGTTATTAATTATTGATAGTGAATGAGGCAAATCAACATATTTTTTACGTTCAATAATTTATCCTTTTATCTAAAGTAGAATTTGACACCCAAAAAAATATTTTTTTAAAAAAAGTTATGTTTTAAAAAAAAAATTTAAAAAAAATGTAAAGTTTTTCTCTAAAGTGAATAGACAGACATATGTATCTTTGATTTTAATTTATTTGTTTTTTGTCAATTTATTCAACTCAATTGATGTGTCACTTAACTCGTGATACAAGTCAGAGATATTAATATTATTATAAATCCATTATTATTTAATTAATTGTGGTAACATTAATTGGGGTGATTATATCACAAAGTAACCCTTGCCTCAAGCATGTCTAATAAGGCATTAGTATAATTTATTATGATGATGATAAAAATTAAGAAATAGCATAGTGATTAGGTTTATAGGATAATTGGTTGGCCAAGTTAAGTACATGACCTCAAAGGCAAGCAAGAATAATATATATATATATTTATCCATTTCAAACCCTCAATGCTTAGTGCTATTTAATGATACTCATTCCATTTAATAGTTCCTTAACAACTTGAAGAAATCATGACAAATAAGAGATATCTACCTTCCAAAATTTGATTAAAAATTTAAATGAAAAAACAAAAAGAAACTTAACAATGTGCTTATCAATAAATGCTTTCCTTGATGCATCATAATTTTGTTTATGGAAAGTGAAAAAATGGGTAGGTTAAAATGATTAGCTTGAAAATTCATAAAAGAAAAGGACATGGAAGAAAGAAATCTTCCTTGGGGGAAGAATACACAAAGTGGTGGGTCAATGTCCAACTGGATTTAGCAATAATTGAACCTAAATGTTGTTGCTTAAGATGGCCTTCAATGGCATTATATCCAAGTGGCTTACAACATAGAGGCATGGCCCTACCTTTTTCTGTCATTATTTTATTATTGTTGAGGGGATTCTTGACAAAACAATATGTCTTTCATTTCAGCCAGTTAACCCTTTAAGTTGGGGATGGTCAAGAAAATTTGAGTCCATGATTTTTGGGCAACACTGGCAACAACTAGGCTTTTTCCCTTTTTTCTTTGTTGTTGGGATGAAGAATTGAGTATTACTAGCATACACAATGCTAGTTGTCACCATGGTTGTCGCATTCTCCAATCTCAAACATGGAGATGATAGGAGTTTTTTGGCATTCTTTGATATAACCAAAATTTCTTTGTTTGGGGACATAAAAATGGCACATCAAAATGAGCTTTTTCTTTGATTGGATTTCAATATTTACTTTTCCAAATACTGGGAGATGTTAAAATTAGAATCCATTTTGTTGGTAGTCTTTTACAAATTTTGTATGTTTCTTTCTCACGGGTGTATCTTGTCTTTAACACAACATTATTAATCAATTCTTTATTTCGGTGCAAACATTATAAATCGATTTAACATTTCCTAACTTTATAAACAACAAATCATTTGTTTAAAAGCAAACTCTCAATGATTATAACTTAAGATTTTAATTTAGAAATCTTAATTTGAATCTTGATTATATAATTTAATTAAGTTTGGGTTAAAAAAAATCTCATCTTAACTCATTCATGTCATTCGAGTTTTAAAAAAATTTTTTTTTTAAGATAGCATTGAAACAATCGTTTTTTATGTTATAAATAATTATTAAATTTTTATTTTTATTTTAAAAAACATTTTTTTTTATAAAAATAGCTCGACCATACTATTTCTATGAGCTAATAGTAAAACCTAGTGATAATGTTAAAATTGTTGAAGCTTTCAATTATTGCTACTGTTGTGAAAACGCCAAGGATACCTACCAAATTCAGATTAGTTGCGCCAATAAAACCAATCAACCTTGTTTGAAGAATAAAAATACCAAATTTTTTCACCAACTTGGAAAAAAACAAGTACAATTTTGACAAATTCAAGCCTACGAAAATCATTCATTTGATATATAATATAAAAAAAAAGCAATACCCACCACCCATTTGACATTTTTGGAGGAAACAAAGAAAAAAAAAAAGAAGAGAAAACCAATAAATGGATTGAGTGATCGTTAATCACTTAAGCCAAGTCCTAACTCCAAAAAATGCATAAAAAAATAATTATGGTCAAACTAATGATGGCATTGATATAAAAAAATGATTATTTCCATTTTTATTTTTTTATGCTATTTGTTTAATGGTGGTGGGTAAGGTATATAGCCGACAAACGCTTTGGTTGATGCCCACATCATTAATAATAATATTCCCACACAGATTAGGAATCTCAAGCCTCCTCTCTTGCATTGCGCATTTTTGCCCCAAACGTAGCAATTGCCGATTAATTCCCGTCTTATTCCGCTCCTGTTTTCTTTTAATAGATGCTGCTTTATTATAAATGTTTTATATATTGTGAGTAAATGATTTTAATTTTATAAATAGAATTAAAATTTTGACAATATTATAATTTTTTAATTATTTTGTAACATAATTAAGCTTTATATTAATTTTGTTAACCAATTTACGAAGTTTATAATTTTATTAAATAAAATAATTTATTTTATTAATTAACAAGACAGTTACATATGCTATTAAGAAGAAAGAAGATTTTTTAAGGTTTAATTTTGTGAAGAGCATTCGAAAATATAATCTTAAATATATTGATTGGATGTCCAAAAATATATTTTAAGATGGTTTCAAAAAGAGATTTTAATGATTAAAATTTGAAATTATAAAATTTGATTTTAAGACGAGAGCTTGGCAAGAGTAAAATTTGTGAGATAAAAAATTGTAATTTTTATTTTCTAATTTAGAATTATAAAAAATAAAATATATAGTAAAATTTTTCCTTATAAACCAAAAAAAAAAAGTACCGCTACTGTTAATAATATCTACCGGAAACTAGAAAAAGTTAAGACTTTAAAACTGGAGTCTGAAGTCTGAACTCTGAACTGGGCATTGGCTATATGGCGTGGGCGCGTGGGTTGCGTGAGGGAGATGAAATACCAAGTTTAGCCTTCACAGCGTCTGACTCTGACTCTCTCCTTGATACTGTGTCTGAGTCCGTATGTCTGAGCTGCACAACAGCAGAGGAAACAAATACCCCTCATCTTTAAACGCTGAATGGTGCAGTCTCTTTCACTCACAAAAAAGCAAAAGAGAGACCCCTCACACACCCAAAAAAACCCAGAAATAAAAATGAAAGTGGTGAAAAAAGTTTAAAACTTTGATGTGATATTAAGTAATAAAATAATAAGGGGGGGAAGATGAGAATACTTTATTTTTTTTGGTTGTTGTTGTTGGAAGGGTGGTTTCTGATGCAGGAGTTTGTTTGCTTTTGGGGCCTAAAACCTTCCCCACCAGATGATGAGATAATCATGTACCCAAAGCCTCAGTTTCAAATGCTGGACACCAAACGAGTATAAGGAGAAAGGGGGGGCCATTGAGAGTGTTAAAAAGGGGAAAAAAGAAGTTACACGCCTCTTTTTTATCCAAAGTCTGATGATTGATTCCAGTTGGATTACCTCAGAAATCAAATGGGTTACAGTCCAAAATTTTGGTTTCAAAATGAGATTTTTTGTTAAAAAGTTGCAGTCTTGATACCTTCTTTTGGTTCTACAGACTTTGAGGGAAGGTTGAGAGTTCTTGGTATAGAAAAAAGCCAAAATTTTTACTTATTTCATATAATGATTCCCTTACAGGTTGCCCAAAAAAAACACTGGGTTGGGTTCAGATTGTTTGTTTTGGCATGATTGCTGATCCTTTTTTGGTGTTGTTTCAAAAGTAAGGCTTGGTTTTTGATGGGAGAGAAAAAAATAGCTTAGTATTTGAACTTTAAAGTGGATGATAAAGGGAGAAAGCAAAGAGGTTTGGAGTTTGAACCACTTTGCTTTCTTGGTATGGTGGATAATTGGACTTGTTTTTGTTGAGAAATGGGTTGAATTTTCTGCTGAGTTGTGTTCTTGGTTAGGTGAAGAATTTTTCTCCGTTTCCTTTTGGCAAATTTGAATCTGCTGTGGAATTTTGATCTTGAGGTCACCTTGGAGGTTTAACTTTCATGAGTTGTTCTTCTGGAACAGGGAATCTTGTGAAGCTCTCAAGGCTCCTTGGGGAAATACACAAGCGTACGTTGGTCAAGATGTCTATGAACGGCAAGCTTTATGGTTCTAATTGTAGATTATCAGCAAATTTCAGGCTGAAGAAGGCAAAGGAGACTATGCATGGACCCAATTCTTTCAGGAAATGGAAGAGAAACCTTCTATTTCTCTGGCTTTTAGGCTTTGTTTCCACGGGGATTATTTGGTTTTTCTTGAGTTTCAATAGTGTATCTCCGGAGGGAAATGAGAAGAGTCCTGATTCTTGTGAGGAGAAGGCAAGAATCTTGCTCCAACATTTCAATGTTAGCAAGAACCAGTTTCATACTCTAGCTTCGTTCTTCTATGAATCAGATCAGGTAATTTTGTATCTTTGATAGCTTTAGACTTTACCTGTTTTTGGCTTAATTTGTTTGGTTTGAAGCTTGAATTTGTTTATACTGACAAAAACGGTTTCTTAGAATGTTCTTGTTTTGTTTTATGAAGGCTGAATATAATGGGATACGACAAATGTGGCTTTGTTCTATCGGAGTTTTCCTTGGTAGAAGATGATGTAGAATAAAGATATTCTTTATTGGTTTTTCCCAGTTTCAATTGTAGTTATGCTGGAAATCATATAAGACATGAATCTGAAAATGGGTTTATAGTGTGATATGATAACCTATTTTCTTATCTTCTATAGTTGAATAATTCATTCACAAGATGAGTGCGGTCTTCTAGATTAAGCTGATGAGTTAGTTCTCATTCTCATTCAGGCTTGATGGGCCAGAGCCTTCTGCATTGTTCACGTTCTCCACTACTATGTAATTCTTCAAATAGGATACTTTTATGCTGGAAATGTTCTCAAATTCTCTTTCAATTCCTTAACAATTTCATAAATCCGAATGTTTTGAAAGAGTGGAATCATATGAAGCAATCCTATCATGTGATATTGCCGGCAAGCACAGGACATAATTTATATCTCTTCTTAAAAGGCCATGCTTTATGATTTATGACTTGATACAGATAACTTATTCTCTGACATCATAGAGAATACTGAACACGTTGAAATCAGGAGTATGTCCATTCTTTTGACAAGGCAATTGAGTCTGCATGAAGATAGTAATGTCCTACCATTGACTGCCAAATGAAGGTTATTGTGTTATGTATATCAAATTTAGTAGAAGGTTTTGAACTTATGATGTTTTAATTCCTGCATGAATTTAGCTTTTGGCCTTATCTCCTTTCAAATGATCGCATACCCTATAGAGGAATTGTTTGTTGAGAAGTTGCATGAACACTGTCTTTCTCACTAAAAATATTGTTGTAAAGATGCGTGTCTTAAATTTTCTACATGAAATTTCTATCATTCTCTCATTACTATCCATATTTCAGATAGCATTCCTCGAATGTGCCAGACATTCAGGACTTAAAAAGCAATCAAGTGATGGAATTGCCTGTGCTCTTAAAGTACTGTGTTCAGAGAAGCAAGACTTCAAAAAGCAGCAGATGTGGTTTGTAAAAACTACAGTACTTAAGGATCAATGCCCAGTCCAAGTTGAAAATATTCCCACTGAGCATGACTTGTCATTGCTGGAGCAGGACACTTCTGTCTCACAAAATGCTGTTTTGTTGACATCATTGGAGCATCATAGCGGCAGAAAGGTAGCAACCAGATTTTAGAAACACCTGATAGTAAAGATTCAACCTTTTAACTTTCAAAAGCAAAGTAGATGATGCTGTACAATTACTTCTTCCAACTGATGGGTAAAATTTTGCAACATATTTTTCCCCTTTCCCTTGGAATGAAAAAATGGAAAGGGAAAGAAAAAGAGCAGACTGTACATGGTTACACCTGCGGAGCACACCATTGGCCCATAATAATTTTGGCCGCAAAAGATTTCTTAAAAGAAGCTGATGAATTTATTTTGCTTTGTTAGGTATATATGTGCTCATAAAACTATTATATGTAGAGTTAAGGAATATTAAATGTTAAAGACAATTCCATTAAGTAAGAGAATGCTATGGAATTTTATAATTCTTGGTTAATAAATCCTGGTATTCTTTATGAGTGATATAATGAAATTTATGGTTTCAGCTGTGAATTGAACTGTCAGGATTATACATACATCATTCAGTTAAGCATGTGCATGTAAATGGACCATGAAGTAAAATGTCATATTCATCCAAAAGAAAATAAAACGTTGGAAAATAGCTTTTTATGCCCCTCCAAACCCTTTTCCATGATCAGATATTGTCAGAGTCATCTATGTATATATGATCTTACTGAAATTGCTTGCCTGAACGTGCTAAAGGAATATAAATGTGCCAAATCCAAATATCCATGAACAATACTATTAAAATAACTGTCCTTCTCTGTTGGTTTGGCAAAAGCAGAACATCTTGCAAAGAAGTGCACTAGGAGTCCACTCAAAAGACCATTGTGAGAACTTGTCTTTTTGTATGGTGAAAGGATGTTGGCTGCTTCTTGTTGGGGTGATACTGAGTTGCAGGATTCCAGGAATTCGTTGGAAGCTCCGGAGGAACAGAAAGAATGAACCAGCTCCATTGCAGCCTGTAGCTCAGCAACTACAGCTGCTACTGCAACAGAAGCAGCATCAGCAAGCCCAGAGCCCTGCCAAAGGTGCAGGGAAGTGGAGAAAGAAACTCCTAGTCATTTTTGTTCTTCTGGGGATCCTTACATCCTTCTGGTTATTTTGGCATTTAAACCAAAAGATCATTTTGAGGAGAGAAGAGACGCTTGCCAACATGTGTGATGAAAGAGCACGGATGTTGCAAGATCAGTTCAATGTTAGCATGAATCATGTTAATGCATTGGCTATTCTTGTATCCACTTTTCACCATGGGAAGCATCCATCTGCCATCAATCAGGTCATATTCTGTGTGCTTGCACCTGAATATCAAATGCTTTTCTAATTTTACTTATATGGTTAAGTCTATGCTAATGAATGCTGAAGGCAAGTCTCAGTAATATTGTATAGCTTACATCACTTCACTCTAATTAACTGATTGACATCATAATCAACCATGATGGAACTGTAATTATTGGCTTAAAATTGTATATGAAAGTCAAGTACTTACCGCGTAGACAAATCTAGCTCTGCTTATATGTCGACCTGAACTACCATTTCATGTTTTGCAGAAAACATTTGGTGAATATACTGAGAGAACAGCTTTTGAGAGGCCACTCACCAGTGGTGTTGCTTATGCATTGAAAGTTCTTCACTCAGAGAGAGAGCAATTTGAGAAACAGCATGGATGGACAATAAAGAAAATGGAAACTGAGGACCAGACTTTAGTCCAAGATTGCCTAACAGAAAATTTGGATCCTGCACCCATTAAAGATGAATATGCACCAGTGATATTTTCACAAGAAACTGTGTCTCATATTGTCTCTATTGACATGATGTCTGGAAAGGTATGCTTTGCTTTAGCTTAGGCTGCACTATATATATATATATATATATATTTATGTATTTTCCCTTTTATGGACAACCTGTGCTCTTCTGGGGCTGTTGATTGCTATTTTTGTTACCTTGATCATCCCCACGATAAATAACAACATAAAAAAGGTCAAATTGTTCCTTAACTTTATTTCCTTTTGCGTGTGAGTGTGCATGTGCGTGGATGCATGCACACACAGATGCACACCCATTTCCTCTTCTTAAGGCTCCCATCCTGGCTCTTACATTTTCTGGCAGACTTTGAACTGCAAATACCATATTGTGATAACCTAGTTTCTTTCATAGCTCATATGGAGATCAAGTGAAATGATTGCAAGTATGCATTATTATTTAAGATTAACCAAATCATATGTTGTACAAAATCTGTTACAGATAGCTAAAAGGATTGGGAATTTCTCTAGTTGATAGTTAATGCTGCTGGAATATTATTTTATGCAGGTGGTATGCATATGCCATGTGCTCCACTTAAATTTTGACCGGAAAGTTAAACACGTTTTAACTACGTACTAATTGTTCTTGCACAGTATATAGGATAGAATGATAGGGAAGAACCAATGATGTGCCTACCCAAGATGGACAAGAAAGTACTAAATCCTTTAGCCTTTGAGGCACCTTTGAGTTTGACATTTTTTGGAAAACTCAGTTGTACCGTGAAAAGGACAAATTCAAGAAATCAACTTGTAGTGAAGGTGATTGTGGTATATGAATTCGCCATATATGATCCTAAGTGTTACTTAGAGTTGATTGGAATGTTGTGTTTTCGCCTTTGCCTGGGATGGAAAGGGCCAAAGACAATGATTGTCTCCCTGAGCTTTTGGATGTGGCTTTCATATGGGACCATGTCATCATGGTTTTCCTGGTTGTGAATGTGTTGGTCCTCTTCCGATCATTCTCAAACATTGATTGACCACGAGTTTGACATGATCTTGGGGAGTTTATCATGACATGGGGCTAAAACATGGAGCGATTCAGATGTGATGTGGATGGTACAGGAAAATTTAAGAGTAAATGAACTATAATCATGGTTGATAAAAGAAATTAGGAGTGACTGAAATCAGAGGTTTGAAATCTGGTTGTATTCTTCATTTAGGGCCATAATCAGGGAGAGTGAAATAATAACTATTAGCTCTTAGCCTTACACTAGGTCATTCTAGGAATATCCCAAATAGAAAAAAGTGTTTAAAGAAACAAAACACTTACTGAATTTTGATAAGACTTAAGTTGTAAAGAGAGCAAATAGAAAAAGCTTATGCAGGTTTTCCATTATTGTTGTCCTAATAACAACTAATATTGACCATTGAAGCTAAAACATCAAGAGCAGATGTAAACTGGAAATAATAATAATAATAATAATGAAGTGCTGTGAATGAGTCCTGCTTGGTGGTGTGAAAAGTACTTTATACAGCCAGGAAGAGAGGAAAGAGGAAAGAGAGAAAAGGGAGACAGGAAAGAATATGATTTTCACTATCCCAGTATCCAAAGTCTGACTGAAAATAATAGAAAGTATTGATAGTTATAGCCCATGTAACTCCAGTTCTTAGAAAATAGGAAATATCAAGAATAACCCTTCCTATAAATAAACCTTAACAACCTAATACCGGTCTTGCAAATTTTCTCATTTCTGGAGGAAGAATTAAGCTCACCACACAGCATTGCTGCAATCACTTAATAGTTAAATTCATGCAGAAGAGCTAGAAAACAGAGCAGGATGCTTTAAAGTACCTTGATACATAACCTCCCTAAAAGCAGGGCTAACATTTAAAAAGGAGGCAAATTGAGCAAATTTGCTCTAAGTTCAAGCTTTTGAATGGTGAGAAATGTTTCATTGGTTATGGCATGAAATTTCTTTTAGTGATTTAGCAAAAATTGAGGATGAGTGTGTACTGTGACAACATTGCTGAAAATTGCTTGCCCGTGGAATGCAGATTAGCAAAAAGTCTATAATCCAAATTATCCATAGCAACATTCGGTTTGATCTTAACACTGAAACATGATAGGTGTTTATAATCATAGCAATCAATTCGACTTTTTCTCAGATTCCAGGTCAAAGATTAAAGAATCAACTTCAAATCCCTTTTATCCTGTTATAATAGATTTTAGCTGGTAGACCACTAGTAGGAATGCATGCTCAATTGCAAAGTCATAATGTTGAATACAATCCCTAAAGACTTTTACATAAAAAGATTACACCATAGAAGTGTGTCTATTTACATCTCACTGTCTTAACTTCATTTAGCCAATAATATTATGTTAATTCGCTCTTTCTACTTTTCACAGGAAGACCGTGAGAACATCCTAAGGGCAAGGGCAACTGGAAAAGGAGTATTGACATCACCTTTTAAGCTGTTAAAATCCAATAACCTTGGTGTTGTGCTCACATTTGCTGTTTATAACAAGGATTTGCCTCCAGATGCTACACCAGACCAACGTATTGAAGCGACTGTGGGGTAAATTATCTCTTAAATCATTCTTGATTTCTGTACAATAATTTTGGACAATTATTAGCATTATTGTCAATTAGCGAATTTTTATATTTATTAGAAAATATTTCAATAGTGAATCTCAATTACAGGTATCTTGGTGCATCTTATGATGTCCCCTCCCTGGTGAAGAAGCTTTTGCACCAACTTGCCAGCAAGCAAACAATTGTTGTCAATGTTTATGACACAACCAATGCATCTGCTCCTATCAGCATGTATGGTACTGATGTAACTGATACTGGCCTACTGCATGTCAGCAACCTTGATTTTGGGGACCCATTAAGGAAGCATGAGATGCACTGCAGGTTAGTTTTCCCAAAAATTAAATAGATAATATTGGCAAAAAGATGTGGGATGGCATATTTCCTAAAAACCACTATTTTTCTGTTGTAGGTTCAAGCAAAAACCTCCATTACCTTGGACTGCTATAAATGCTTCACTAGGAGTCCTAGTTATTACTTTGCTTGTTGGTCATATCTTCCTTGCAGCTATAAGTCGAATTGCAAAAGTAGAGAATGACTACCGTGAGATGATGGAGCTCAAAGCTCGTGCTGAAGCTGCAGATGTAGCCAAATCTCAGGTGCAATTGCCACCAAATTTATTTCTCTAGTGATTGTCATCTTACATTTAAAACCTTCCCCTAGAAAATGGCTATAATGTAATAGTTCTATAGTGTTTTCTAACTTAATGATTTTCATTTTTGTAGTTTCTAGCTACTGTTTCCCATGAGATCCGGACTCCAATGAATGGTGTTTTAGGTGATTAGAAAGCCTTTCATTTGTATAAATATTAATTCTCTCTTCTGGCACAACTAATTAACAGAATTTCACTTGTCTTTTGTTTGTATAAATATTCACAGGTATGCTGAAAATGCTGATGGACACAGATCTTGATGCAATCCAAAGGGACTATGCTGAGACTGCTCATGCTAGTGGGAAAGATCTTATCTCACTGATAAATGAGGTCCTTGATCAGGCTAAGATAGAATCAGGCAAGCTTGAACTTGAGGACGTGCCCTTTGATCTACGCTCTCTTCTTGATAATGTTCTCTCACTCTCCTCAGACAAATCTAATGGTAAAGGGATTGAGGTAAAACCAAGATATTCTTTTACTGTTATTATTATTTTTTTAAATTAATCTGATTTCTTTTTCTTCTTCTGTTTTTCTTCACTTCCTTACATAATTTTGTTTGATTTTGTTCTTTGAACATGAAAAGTTGGCCGTTTATGTATCTGATCGGGTTCCTGAAGTTGTTGTTGGTGATCCTGGACGGTTTCGGCAAATAATTACAAATCTTGTTGGAAATTCAATTAAGGTTTGTTATGTTTGAATTTCCATGTTTCTTCCCTTTCCATTCCATCCTATACTCGAAACTTAAATTGCCACAAGACTAGGAAAATGATATGTTGGATGCATTTTCCTTGTGGAGAATTGAGTGGGGCTATCACCTAGTCTTTTTCTTCAGATTCACAATCCTATTACATAAGTCTTGGCTCTGACCTTGTTTCTATGACTTATTGGTTGATAGGGTGGATTCTATCAGGGACAACACATGCCATTAAATAGAATATTCTTTGTGAATGAGAGAAGAAAAAATTTTCTGTTGATAGTATTTACAGTTTAAAATTTTTGAAACATGCATGCAGCAATATGGTAACTTAATGTAGCCAAGTGATTCCAACTCATGAATGCACGGGATCCAAGATTCCAGGGTTCTCTCATGCTTAAGTTGCACCTAAAAAACCAGGAAATCAGATGAAAATTTGGGTTCCCCTATTATTTTCAGTTTCATATCTTTTGAAATTTGAATTTTTTCCCTAACTTATCACTCTTTGAACTTGCAGTTCACGCAAGATAAGGGACATATTTTTGTCTCAGTGCATCTGGTAGATGAAGTGAAAGGCGCATTTGATGTGGGAGACAAGGTGTTACAACAAGGCTTGAATTTAGTTCAAGACATGTCAAGCAGAACATATAATACATTAAGTGGGTTTCCAGTGGTAGACAGATGGAAAAGCTGGGAGAATTTTAAAGTATTAAATGGCAAAGATACAACGGAGGATCCTGAAAAGATTAAATTACTAGTTACAGTTGAGGACACTGGTGTAGGAATTCGTTTAGATGCACAAGCTCGAATTTTCACTCCTTTTGTGCAAGCTGACAGTTCCACTTCACGACATTATGGTGGGACTGGAATAGGATTGAGCATCAGCAAACATCTGGTGGAACTCATGCATGGGGAGATTGGGTTTGTGAGTGAATCTGGTGTTGGCAGTACTTTCTCATTTACTGGAGCTTTTGGAAAAGGCGAAGCGAGTTCTCTGGATCCAAAGTGGAAGCAATATGATCCAGCGGTTTCAGAATTCCAAGGATTGGGAGCACTGGTTATTGATAATAGAAGCATCCGAGCTGAGGTCACCAGATATCATCTACGGAGATTGGGAATATCTGTGGATATAACTTCCAGTATAGAGTCAGCATGTACCTATTTGTCAAGCACTTGCGGCACAAGGTAGGTAGAATAGTTCTGGTGGTACATATGTCATAGTCTCGTTTAGTGACACTTGCACATAGAAGATTGAAGGCTTTTAATATTCTACACAAAATGAACCAACTTTCTGAATTGGAAAGCTTTTATTTGAATTGATTACAATATTAATCCTTACACAAAGGAACCTAGCGAAAGATACATGATTATTACGATAGTTTTCTCTAACATACTTTGTTTAAAATGCATCACTCTGAATACTCTAGGTATTGTTCTGAATCTAAAAAACTTATTTAAATCTAGAAACCAACATGTGCACATTAATGAGGGTTAGTTTTTGCAGTTTTTGAACACTTTTTAGTAGAAGTTTCTGAGAGTCACCTGTTGATAAGTATATCCTTTTCTAAACCTGCAACAAGATTAAGATTTATAAGTAATGATACTACTAATAATAAGCATGCTGATTTATGAACAAGAATTTGAATACAATTACTTTTGGATATTTGAATTACCATGAAAGCTTACTCCAACACCGTTCAACTTACCTTGGTTTTGCTGATGAATTTTTATTTGTTTCTTTTGCAGTGCATTTGCACATTTGGCCCTGATTCTTATTGACAAGGATGTTTGGAATCAGGAAACAATTCTTCAGTTACGTTCTTTGCTCAAAGAACATAGGCAAAATGGCAGGCTAGATGTATCAACACATGTTCCAAAGATTTTTCTCTTGGCTACCTCCATGAGCCCTGCTGAACGCTCCAAGCTTAAGACTGCTGGTTTTGTAGATAATGTGCTGATGAAGCCTCTTCGGTTGAGTGTCTTGATTGCCTGTTTCCAAGAAGCCCTTGGAAACGGTGGAAAGGACCAAATACAGAGAAAGAAAACATCTACACTTGGGACCCTACTTAGAGACAAGCGGATTTTAGTGGTTGATGACAATAAAGTTAACAGAAGAGTGGCAGAAGGTGCGTTAAAGAAATGTGGAGCAATTGTTTCCTGTGTGGAAAGAGGCCGGGATGCGTTGGACAAGCTTAAGCCACCCCATAATTTTGATGCCTGCTTCATGGATCTCCAGATGCCAGAAATGGATGGGTAATCAATCAAACTTCGCTTTAACTTTGTTTTTCCATGTTTGTGCTTCTTTCAGCATAAACTTGAAACTATGACAAAAGAGGCCTCTCTGTCAAACAACAGTGGTTATATTTAATGGTTGCTTGCAGCAAGGAAGTGATTTATTGCATTTCTAATCAAAATTCATCAAAATATTATAACTTAATGACTGATAAAGGGTTTAGCATTTACTCAGTTCATGCAACTATATGAGGCAAAATTATTTTTAAGTTTATCCAGAACCAGATATTTGGGCTTTGATATGATGGGGTAAAAAAAATGCTGATTTGTTTGATAAATTCTTGGTCGACTAAGGCAATTCGTAAACTGTAATTTGTTTTTGTTGTAATTTGTTTCCTATGGATCTACACATCTTCAAGATTTGTTTTAAATGGAAAGAGATCCTCATATGTCATGAATGCCCTTCTGAGAATTTCTTATGAATAGTTTCTTGTTAAGATTTTCTACTCTTACTGTACATCACAATCTTCATGCTCCAAATATTATGCAGGTTTGAAGCAACTAGGCAAATCCGCAGTGCAGAGAGTGAGGTCAACAAAAAAATTGCTTCTGGAGAAACATCAATTGAGATATATGGAAATGTGTCTCACTGGCACATTCCAATATTAGCAATGACAGCTGATGTAATCCAGGCTACAAATGAAGAGTGCATGAAATGTGGGATGGATGACTATGTTTCAAAGCCTTTTGAGGAAGAGAAACTTTATTCAACTGTTGCTCGTTTTTTTAAGTCTGGTTGATAAAATGGGAGGTGTTTGAACTTTCATTGTCCAGGTTGATCCCTATGTCTTTTGGTTGTCTGACAAGTGACAAGCCTTAACTGCCATGCGGTTTCACTGACCTATGTCTTGCTGCATATTGGTGGACGTCTGAAATACGGTAATTTTGGCATCACTCTTATCTTTGTGTTCTAAATAGAATGTGTAATAATCAAATATATGATGTCTGCTTCATGTATCTTACTTCACTCCTGTAGTACAGGTAGGCTTTTTCATCTCCTTTTATTTCCACTACAAAGTGTTCTTTTAGCTTCAGGAATGGGGAAACATGCTTTTTTTTGTGCTTTTCTTTTTGGTTCAATAAACTGGGACTTCTATGTTCTTTATTGTGGATTTTGGTTTTGTTTGGTTCTTTTTTTTTTTTTTTTTTAATTTCTTTAAAGTGACAAAAGATGCTTCTTCATGTACATATCACTAATGGTATGATGAATTCTTTTTTTTTTTCGGTTGGTCAATGAATGATATCATGAATTCAAACTATTTGATATTCCACAAAATGGTTTTTGGATGTTTACCATGTGGTTTTTGTCTTCAGGAATGCTGAGCTTGCATCCATGATTTGGCTTTCAAGTGTGTTGAATACCAGGGAAGGGTGTTCAAATTCTTCTGAATGTTGGTTGCCATCCATTTTGCTCAATATAATCACTTGCCTAGTACAAAGGAAAAAGTGGTGCTTTTCCTGTACACACCAATTTTTATTTAATTGTAATTAACCGACCTCCTCCCCCCCATATTTTATATGTTGTCAGCCAAACAATAAAATTTATGTAGAGTTTCCATTTTTCAAGCTCTTGTAAGATGAGTGATTCATTTTTATTATCATAGTCAGTTTTTATGTCAGAAATCTGCACAAACTTCACGGATCAAAGTTAGAACTATCATTTTACTGGAGTCAAATATGGGCATCTTGAAATGTTACCATTTTTCATTCCAATGGAATTAAAGGTAGATACAATTGCTGGTTGGAAGTTCAGTGAAACTTAAGAAAATAGCAAACTCCCTCAACCGACAAATTAAGTTGGCAATGCATGCTGTTTTCTGCGCTGAAAGATTATGTTCCTCTTGATTTCTTTGGTTGTCTGCTACTTGTTGTACGTTATCCTTTTCATTTTTTTCTTGGTACAATCAGTGTGAACTAATTGTATCATATAATTTTGCCGTGGTTGTAAGTAATAAATTGCTTGATTTGATTTGATTTTGTAAATATTTTGTTCTCTCTTTTTGTCTAATGGTGTTGCCAAGCACTTGTGGGTAGGGTTATGAACTACTCACAAAAAAGCCTAGCCATCGATCTAATGCTTAATTTTGGATGGTGAGCATCAACATGAAGTGGAGATTCTGCGTCCATAATTTATCATCTAATCTTTTATTTACTTGTTTCTTTTCATCTTTTGTGTATATGAACACTGCTCAAATTTTGAGTGTTTGAGCAGTTTCTGAGTTGAAAATGTCATCATCCCATTTTTTTCTCTGAAGTTGAATGTTGTAAAAGGATTAGCATATAACACGGAGAGGCAGTGATCAGGTGCTAATACTGGAAATTTTGCTGAAAGAACTCCCAAGAAAAATTGGAAAATTTATTCTAAAGTTTTGTTTTTGTTTCCAGGGAACACCGTTATTTCTAGTTTGTCCAAAGTTAGAAGACAGCCAAACATGGAGCCCGTGTTTTTTTTTTTTTGGAAGGACAAGCCTAAAAGACCATAACATTTCTAGTATATGTGTTATGCTATTCATTTAACACTTTAGAAGGGATATTGACTGCTTGTGGCTATGTGATTTCTCATTGGATGGATCATATATTTTCCCAGTTCCCAGATTGAATATCTCTCTCCCTCCCCTCTCGAATAGGAAAATGTCTCTTGTCGATGAGGATAATGCTTGATCTGCTGCTGATGTCAATGATTCCTCAAATATCAGGCATGATTTTTTGCCAACATAAAGCAAATGAACTAGCTACTGTCATGATTACTCTTTAACATATGTTTCCTGTTTAATTCTAGCATTTAGAAAACTGGGGTACATTGTAAAACATAGTTAAAACTCCATGTCATGTATAAGCCACAAGATGATTTCATCTGTATACTGCATTATCTAAGATGCTGTTTTCTGTGCTTGTTATACCAGTTGGGGAATCTGAGCAATAATGCATGTATAGCTGATAAACAAACACCAGATGATGAGTTGAAGGTAGCCCTGGATTGGGCTTGTGGGAAAGGTGGTAGCACTTTCTACTCATAAAAAAGATTAAAAAAAAAAATCAAAATGAGCAAATCCCATGTGCCTAGAAAGTAGAAAGTGCAAGTCATATGAGACTGCTGTTTGGTCATGTGCTGCTGTTAATTTACTCGTTTAATAACGATGCTAAAGCAATGAATTAGCTGACGCAAAAGGAAGAAAAAAAAGGGAAAGAAACAGGGATTACAAACCATGTGGGTGCTACTGAATCATATCTTTATTGTGGCAGGAGTGAAAAGAAAGAAAACCCTGCCTTATCAGAACAGAAAGTGGATAACAGCTCACTGCTTAGACTCCATCTCTGTCCATAATCGAACTTCTTATTTATGCCTTTGTTGACTAATTTTCCTATTCTTAATTGATCTTTTCAGGGTTTTTCTATTATTTTTTTTGTGTGTTATCTTTACAATGACCCTTCTTCCATATATTTTTTACCAGCAGGTAGTTCTTGCCAATACGAGTTTATTCCCTGACTTAGATACAAATCAATTAATGTAATAAAATCAGATGTTGATCGTTCTACTTTTTCCCTTTCCATGGTCGAGTCTGTTTCTCTTTCTACCCTTGCTGTGATATGTTGACAACTTGAGATTTAACATTTCTTGTTGCAAAAAAGCTGAAAAGCTTTCAAAAATACAGTAGAAAATTTCCACCATTATGGCTGATTTTCTGAAAATTGAAATGTTGGTCACTATCTTGCAAATTGATCCTATTTTTCCTCTTTCAATTTGTTCAATTAACGCTTCATGTTTCCAGGTAATACAAAATTTGTCATCCGCTGAGGGCCAAACTATGACATAATGCATAATTTCTCATACTAACAAATTATGTCCTATGATCATAAATGCATAACTAAAACATGTTTCTACCATGTAGAGTGATGATGATCATATGCCTGACAACACCAAAATCAAAACATGATACCAAAAAAAAAAAAACCTTATGAGGCAACACTGCTATAATAATTTGTTTGTTCTTATTTGCTTCCAAGAGCAGTGAGAATTCTGTAACAGTGAAATTCTTATTAGATCCATCCACAGGGCATCTTAAGAGACAATAACAAGCACAATAACTATAAAGCGGTTACACTATAAACAAATGGCGGGACAAAGAGGACAAGAAGTATGGCAAGGTATTCTCAAGCTCCTGTTTAATCCCAAAGCATATATTTCTGAAGTTCGGAAACTTCTTAATTCGACAGCATGAGTTCTAAGAAAATTCCAATCTTCAGAATAATAAACTTGCCCAAGCTGCGACAAAAGCCAAGCCGCCAAATGGAGCTAGGGCAGAAAACTTTCTATCCTCAAGATATGCTGCTGTGTAACACCTGTGCAGTCCATAACAATATAATTACACTTTCACAATTAACAATATAAATTCTGCATGAATGAATTTAACTTGAGCATAAACGCATTCAAAAGATGATTACTTGAAAAGCACATGATGGAAATGCTCAAAAGAAACAAAAAGAAAGAAAAGCATAGAATAGAGAAGCAGTTTTTAAATGATATTCAGAGAGTGCAAAATGCAGCATTATCCAAAATTATGAATTTGAAATGATAACCTCTGTCTTGATAACTGATCCTAGTATTACCATAAATTTACCATATCATTCTAAATATAGTTTGGATGGGAAAAAATAGCATCAGAATTACGAGGGATGATGCTGTGATGGTGTCCAGTTCAGTGCTTTCCTTCTAAAGGTGTTTGTGTCACACAATGAAGGGTAGAACCAGTCGCTGCAACAATTCTAATGGGAGGAGAAGTACTTGGACATTAGACAGTTGGCAAAACATAAGCATGTGCAACTGCTTATATTTATTCATATTGATACATAGTACCGATTTGTCATGTAACTGTTCAAAGGTTCTGTTTTTATATCAAATCACTAGGGCTTCAATTATTTAAACAAAACATACAGAGAACCCACGAAGTTGAATGAGTGGTGTTATGGTCCATATACATCATTACAGAGCTGTGTTAATTCACAGCATTACTAATGCATGGCATCCCAACTTCATGGCTTCAATACAAAAAAAATACACGACAAAGAATTTGACATTTAGCAACACAGATTTTTACATAATTTTGTAAAGTGATACACATATTTGTGATGCAAAATGTACAGATTTGCAGCAATTTTATACACATTCTTATTGTGAGATATAGTCAACGGTAACTTATTGCAGCATCAGACATTTTATATACCAAAATGTCTTTTCTGCAACAAAATATAAATTGCTAGAACAAGGCCTTTTATGCACCCAAAATGCTCAATTTGCAAGACTATAAAAGTTGCCACAAAAACCTTTGTTGCTAAACGTCGGATTCCTACCAATTCTACTCAATTTTACAAGTACTACCTCCATCCTTTATTGCTTTCTCATCACTTATCAGACCATCCAACTCCAGTACATTCAAAACCATCACTAACTCTAGAAATTATCCATATGGCACACAAGATGGACACTGTAAAAAGAAAAGAAAATATAAACAGCTCTCCCACCTATATAACGCATACATGGAGAATAGCACAATATATGAACTCTTCACAAATACAAAAAACATATAACCTAAGATATGCACTCAAAAACAAGGTGATTTATGCCCATACCCATGAAATCTCAAAAAATGCAAGTTTAAAACCATTAGAAGTATCATGTTCATCAAGGAAAGTAATCCGAAATATGAAGACTTCACAAACATCAATCAAAATTGAAACCAGTAACTTTACTTTCACCGTATCCTTTATTTTCAGAGGAACCATTCACCATCCAAATGTGAAATCCGTACAAAATTCATTAAAGACCAAAGAGAAGGCAACTTACGACCCAGAGAAAGTAAGAATGCCAGCAGTCAAAAGGGCTCCAAACTGAAACACAACACACAAAAGCTCTTAACCCATTTATAACTCAACATGGAGCAATAAAATTTAGGGCGTTGTTTGATTAGTCACTTGTAACTAAAACAAAAAAACCACTCAATAATCAATAAAGTAGTTTTCAAAACAACGCTAATCAAACAATGCCCAGAAAAGCAATGAGTAAAACATAAATAAAAGGGAAAAGGGGAACTAACAACGTGTGGGCGTTTGGTAATAGGGGCAGCAAGGAGTGCAGCTGTGTGAAAAAAGTGGTAAATAGAAGCAATTTGCCATACCTGCTTGTATCATCCAATTATTTTGCACCCAGTAATAAGAAATAAACCCAAAAAGGGCAAAAAAAAAAGGCAACAAAAGAGTTAAAAAGTGAAAATTTTTAGTGAAAAATGAAATGGGTAATAAAAAACTGACCTCTTTGAAAATGGGTTTTTCAGGTTTGAAGATATGGAATCCATATGTGCCCAATCCAAGAGCTGCTATTCCTGTTTTTCATTAAAAAAAAAAAAACCCATAAATACATAAATAAATATATATATATAGTATAGAAAAAAATTATTGAAAAGATTAGATAAGAAGTTAAAACCAGAAACAGCAGCAATCTTGTGCCAGTGATAAGGATCCATTTCAGAAATTCTCATACGCTCTCTTCTTTCTTCAGTTTTGACTTCTGGTGGCATCAGTACATATACGACCGGCGATGCAGGGAGCAAACTTTCTTTTAATTATCAAAGACGGAGCTAAACGCAGTCGTTTAATTGTAGCTGAAACGCAACCGTTTATATGGTTTTCCTCTTTTGCCTTTTTCCCACGGTGGTGCAATATTGCTGTCTATTGTAATTTGCAAACCTTTTGTATCCACTTTTAGTTGTGGCTCAAGTTTTTGTTTATTCCTTTCTTCTATCTGTGGCATAAAATTATCATTCAATTTATCTTTTTACCAATTTACACTAATTGTCATAACGTCTAGATCCGGGGATCTATCGCTAGACATTGACTTTTGGGAGTCGCCACCAATCTTTTTTATCTAGGTGTGATTGGCCACCTAAAGAATCTGTCCTTTTAGGGAACACCTAAGTTTAAGGGCCCCTAAAAGAATAGGTTCGGGTCTACAAACCAGAACAGGGTTCGGGAGTTCGGTTACGTGTGAGGAAGGTTATAGCACCCTCACAACGCCCATCAAAAGATGGTACCAGCTGAAATTTGTGTTATCCAAAAGCCTTAAAATTTTACCAAGTAGTTAATTATTGAAAATTATTCTCAATTGACTCTAATACTTTTAGCAGAAAATTGAGAAAATTCCCTCACCTCAAGAGTATGCAAGAAAAACTACTGTTTCACTTGCAGAGGCTCCGTCGTCGGATTATTTAACAGAAAAAAAACAAAATCAAAATTAAGATAGAAAGGAAGGAAAGAATGATTTTTTTTTGTAGGGAAAATTGATACTTTCAACTTTTCCCCAAAAATATTTTTTTGGAAATTTCGATTTTCAAAGAAAATTGATACTTTCAACTTTTCCCTAAAAATATTTTTTTTGAAATTTATTTCTGAGGAAAATTGATACTTTCAACTTTTCCCCAAAAATATTTTTTGGAAATTTATTTCTAAGAAAAATTGATACTTTCAACTTTTCCCTAAAAATATATTTTTTTAAAATTTTTTTTATTTTTATTTAAAGAAAATAAAATAATAAAAAATAAATAAAAAGAATATTACATAAACCTAATCTAATAAATAAAAAATAAAAAAATAAAATAAAGAAATAAACAAAGAAATAAAAAAAAAAAAAACCTGGAGCGGCTCGGATCGCGGCTCGGCTCGGCTCGGCTCAAGGAAGAGAAAACGGCTCGGGGGAGCGGCTTGGCTCGGCTCGGCTCGGCTCGGCTCGGAGGGGGGCTGGCACGCGCGGGTCAGAAAGCGGGTCGACGCCCGGGTCGGGTCGGGTTCGGCAAAACGCGCGGATCCTCTGGGTTACTTAAGGCCAAAACGACGTCGTTTTGGGAGGGTATAAAAGGCACCTTCCTCCATTTTTCGGCAGAACGCTCCTCCCCCCCTCTCTCTCTTCTTCCTTTTTCTCTCCCTTCTCTCTAGAAATTGAAGAACACCGGTGCCGGATTCTGGAAATTTTCGCCGGAATCTGGAAATTTCGCCGGAAGTTGGCCGGTTTCTGGGATTCTTCGTCGGAAACTGGACTGGTCGTCGGAAACTTCAATGTTCGCCGGAATTGTTGCCGGAAAATTCAAATTTCACCGGAATTTTCGCCGGATTCTGGAAATATCCCAGAAATTTTCAGAAAAAATTTTCGCCAAAAAATCTCTAAAAATTTTTTTCTCACTCCCAGAACACTCCTAAACTTTTCCTAGCTTCCTATACGCCTCCTTTTCTCTTAAATCAGTAGCTTTGCTTACTGTTTTCTCTCTGTTCAGCATTGTTCCAGAGGGTCCCTTTTATAGGGATTGATCAGGAGTTCCTGATCAATCCCAATTCCTCCTTGGACGGGAATTCAGTCTTTGAATCCAACTGGACTCTTCTGATTGAATTCCCCTCCAGAGTGGGATTCTTCAACTTTGAATCTTAGCCATCCAGAATTAAAATTAAAATAAATAAAAAAAATACTAGATAATCAAAAGATATGATAGTATAAAAATAAAAAAATAATATCAGATAATTCAAAAAAAAATCAGATAAAATTAACAGATAATAAAAAAAAATAACATAAGATAAACCCAAAAATATATTACAAAAAAAAAAAAGATAATAATAATAATAAATATATAACTATATACATACAATACATATAAATCTAATCTAAATAAAAATAAATAAACAAAGATATACATAATAATAATAATAATAATAATAATAAAATACATAAAATACAAAAGAAGAAAAAGAAAAGAAAAAAAATAAAAATGAAAATACAGGATTGAAATGGGCCTTACCCATTTGGGCCAGGCCCAATTGATCTGGGCCGGACCCAATTGGGTGTCTACACTAATGTGATAGAAAATCATTAAAAATGTTAGGTGATGTTGATATATGAATTCTTTTGTATACAATATTGATAATGAAAATTTTTAATTTTATAATCAAATTGAAAGATTGTCATGTATTCATTCAACAATATATTTTTATCATATTATAATAAAATAATATTATATTTAAATTAATATTTCTTTTATTATTTAATTGATTATTTAATATGATATTTTTATATTCTTTTAAAAAAAAATTTTGATATGTATGTTCATTTTTTTTCCATATCTAATGTCTCTTAATATTTTTCATTTATGTCAATATCTTGATTAAAATCATAATAGTAGAGTTATATACGTTTATATTTTATATAGATCAACAATTTTTGTAATACCCACAAAATTAACATATAATTTGAAATGTTATGTTATATGATTTATGACTTTTAAAAATAATTTACTTCTTAAAATTTTTTCTTCAACTCATGTTTTGTCATAATTAAAATTTGACCCAATAGGATTTTTATTTACAATAAAATTATTTTATTAAAATATTTCTTTATTATAATAAGTAGTTTTATTTTTCGACATTTATTTTGTCAAAAAAAAAAAGTAAGTTATTTGGGAAATCCTAACCTTAGAGAAAAAGAAAAAGGGAAGAGGAAAGGCAAATCAATCTTAAAAATCACTTATTAAAGTAAAATTTTACTTAAAACTCTTAAAATTTTTATGTTTTGTTTAATTCTTTACAAATCTTAATTTATATTTTTATATCTTTTCATCTTTAAAAATAATTAGATGACTTTTCGATGACAATTTGACAAAATTGTGAGTGCTAATAAAAAGGTCTCTTCAAAACTTTTCTAATGATGATATGGTGCTTCATTTGGTTAAGTAATTTAGAAAAATTGAATGTTTAAAATTGTTTATTTTTGGATTTTTTACAGTTACATATACCTAATTTTGGATCACTATAACTATCTACTCCAATGACCAATTTAATCGAACTTTAGGTGCTTTTGATAATAAAAAATATGATCTTTCTAGTGGTATAATTGATTTGTTCAGATGATCTACAAGCTAAGAGAATCGAAACCCCAAAATATACTTCATGAATCTGAAATCCAAAAAATCTGAACTATTTATGATAATTTGTAAAGTTTTGGCCTTCAAAACTTAAGCTTCTAGAAATCATTTTAGTAAAAACAAAATTCTAGATTGTAGTATTACATTTCTACTTTAAATTTGTGTTTTCCTTGATCACTAAAAATTGTAGAATATTAGAGATTTTGTGGCTCAAAATAAGCCAATGCTTACAAAATGAGATTTTCATAATTAAGAAATTTTCATTTTTAATTATTTTAAAAATTATTTTCAGCCATCTATTTAGTTATAAATTACATAAAGTTTAGTTATATTATTTTTTAAAGAATTTGTACTTATTTTAATATATTTTTACTGTATTAATTTCATGCAAGGAAAGACTGTATACAATAGATCATTTCTCTAACCCACGTATAGTGAGAGCTTTACGCATTGAACTGCCTTTTTATTAATTTCATGTTATTATTCTTGTTAAAAAACTATTAAGTTAGATTCAAACTTACAAAAATAATTACTTTTAAATATTAAAATTAAATATTTATAAAAATTTTATATTGTTACTAATTTTTATGTTTTTAATTTTTAATTTCATATTTATACTTAATTTTAGACATTTTGCTATATTAAAAGAAAATTTTTTAATATGCTAAAAGTATTTTCAAATAGTTTTGTTAGTTTTGAAAGTTGTCACATAACCTAATTTGCTTAGAATGATCATTGGAAGGTTTGCCTTATTAAATTTTTGTTTTCGGGTTAAATTTTGATTTTTTAATATTTCTTAAATTATTAAAACACTAAGAGATTTATGTAATTTGCTACTTAAGTTTTGGTTTAGTACATCAGGTAAGTAACTTGACGTCATTTTGATTTTTATATCCCTAAAAGTTAAACTTAAACCATTTATATTAAGGCTCTATTTGTTTCACATAAAATGACTTTCAAAAAATAATTTTTACATTTTCATATTTTTTTGACAGACAATTGATTGATCAACGGAAAATGATTTACTGGTCAATGAAAATGAAGTAATTTTTCTAAAAATTGTTTTACCATTTTAAAAAGGGAAAGACAATTTCTAAAAAAAAAAAAAGCTGTTTATGAGTATAACTATTCATCAATGTATTTGAGCATAATTTTACTTAAGTCGGTTCTTATACATTATTTTTTTAAGATCAAACTTAATTTAACTCGATTCAAAATATTATTATATTAATAAATAATATTTTTATTTAATTTTACTTAAAAAATTAAAATATTAATATTAAAAGCCTTTTAATATTTTAATATTAAATATTTTATAATTATACTCAAATAAAATTATAAACATAATATTTTAAACTCGAACTTAATTTGATTTTACTTAAAATATTATTATGTTAATAAAAATATTTTATTTAATTTTAATTAAAATATTAAAATATTAACATTAAAAGTTTTTTTGATATTTCAAATTTTAAATATTTTTATTTTGTATATTATTAAACATAAATATTTTTCATATTCAAGAATAAATTGCGTTAAATTATTATTTTAATAATAAATAATAAATAATAACATATATAATAATATTTTATTATTTTAATAATTAATGTTAAATAATATAATAATATTATTTTCTTAATTTGCATATTTTTAATAATTTCTTATTATTTTTAGTTTAAAATATATAATTTTATATTTTATTTATTAAGGTATTTATATTACTATTTTAATAATAAAATATAAATAAAAAAGATTATTGTTATGATTTA